ACAGAACCAAATACTTGCACCCTCTTAGAACTAAATTAACGCACCCTCTTCTGCCAAACAATGCCATACACCGCGTTGAGACAGGTCGTTCCGCTACATCTGGATTTGCTTTAAATTTAATCTGTGTGTCGTCAGGGGGACAGATGATAGCGTGAATACGGTGGTTCCTCTTGACCACAAAAAAGATATATATAGATACTCTTTATTTAACGTGGTCGGATCCGGTGATATGCTCTCACCTCATCGCATTCAAGGTTAGAGCATGGAGACAAACACATTGTAAAAGGTAGTAGTTAAGCAAGGACTCAAAAAGAATAATTGGAGGAGTGGGGATCCGGAGGAAGCGGCCGTGCGCGAGGTGGGTGCCGGTCATAAAATCTAGAGCGTGCCGAGATTGAGCATTTTAAACGGCGATCGATTACGCGCCGGCAGGCAACGCCAAAGGCTACATTCGGCGTGATCTGAAGACCGGTGATGTCCGGGCAGGCAATGACAAAAAAAAAATGTTTTGTTTAAGGGGGTTATGTTTTTTCACTGAGTAGGGGGCATTTTTTCCCCGAGTACGTAAACAACTGCAACTCCCCAGCCACTATTTTCAATAGGGTAAAACATATTGAATTTAGTGGCAGTGATAAAATTGGTTTCACACAGCCACTATCAAGTCCCTCACAGATTTCGGTCTCAAATGGATTTTAGGTCCCCTCAGATTTGAAAGGGACAATAACATCTGTAAACAGAAGTACTCGTAATCGGGAATCCTAAATGACTCCAAAGTAGCGGGTGTTGAAATCTTTGTGAATGTGAGTCGCAGATGTACCTGGTTTCCAAACCCAGTTATTGGCGTGCAGTTCTGTGCGATTTCCCTTCACACATTTGTGCTTAGTTAACGAAAAGCCAATTATCAAAGTTTCAGGCAGCAACACTAAGAACACCATTCCTTGTTTTCGAAGGAAGTCACATCTTTGTGCATCCAGCTCCTCGAAGCACACCTCTCTTATGTCGTTTGATTGAGTGGACTCAGGGTGGCAGGGGCAGCGAATGCGAGATGAAGCACACAGCACTCTCTGCATGAAAGTGCCGCTATTGCGTTCACATTTGTTTTTGCCCGCACCACGTGCGTGCCAATGATGCATATGGCAAGTTTTTTCTTCTTCATAAGATGAAGGAATTTTGACTTACCCATTTGTCCAAGTGTCATTTCTTCAAGAAGGCATTCCTACCAAGTTGACGGTGAACTAGACGAATGCTCAACCAAGTGCTGACCGCTGAACCGAATTCCAAGTTGCCCTTGCTCGTCATGTTTTGGCCATGTGTGGTCTGAACCTAAGGGTGTTGACCCTTCTGATGGTCCGGGTACCGTGGCCGGTGTACCGTCGGATATGGGCATCCCACCATGTTGTTCCCTCCAGGATATTCTGGATGCCATACCGCCGTTCCAAAATCAATGTAAGCCAATCTATCGTCGAGTGCAGCCTATCTACTATATCTTCTCAACCGCAAGTTGATTATTTACAGCAACTTGATTTGAACCATGGCGAAGCTCATGGCATATAGGACTTCGTGCGACGTGGCTTGGACAGTGAGCACTTTCCTAAAGATATCTCTCGGACTCAATTCTTTCAGACATGTGTGCACCGACATCTTTGTTTTAGTGCTCACTCTGCGCCGAGCGTACGTGGGCAGAGATAAGCATTGCCCAAATGATAGTAGGTGACTCCTTGTTGAAAGTTATGGCTCGCGATGGTACAGTGCATTTAATACTCTTCTTGGATCATCATGTTTTACATGTGCATCAGGCACCATGTATTTCGCGTATGTGTCCCTCCGAGTCGCGTCGCCAGCCAGTATTAATGAGACAATTTCACAGAATCATTCTTCTTGCATACCTTTTGAAGGTCTATGTATGTACCATCATTTTATGATCATTCTGCCCCTTGCTCAACCTTTTACTGGTCGATTAACGAGGTATCTATATAATACATACATAGATCTGTGATTCGATGAGCACAAGCCCACCGGAAGTCACGACAGACTCACCACATATCAAACTAACCCCTCAGAGCGGCCTCAGTCTGGGTCTTACGGTCGACACCGTACGCCCACGGCTGCGGCGGCCCATCGCGGAAGGACACCATGAGGAGCTCCCTGACCTGACGTGCCGGCATAGCCTTGGATCGTGCACGCAACGGGCTCAAGAATCTCAAGGATGCGCAAGAGGAGGACGCGCGCGCGGGGAGCGCGGAGCGTTCGAGGCAGGCGACGCCGGAGCCTAATAGTAATTTAAACATGAGCGGAGGGAGGCGCGGGGGCGCGGAAATTACGTACCGGTCAACGGACGGCTGAGCTGACGGGGACGTGTCCCGGGTATCTCGGGCATCCATTCAATAAAGGGTTGCAGCTCCGTTTCGTGCGCGGCGGCGGGCCCCACCATGGTCAGACACAGGGACGTCCCGAAGTTGATTAGGAGGGGGTGCTGCAGGCCCCAGATGGTGAGCTCGGGGTGGATGTTGCGGCGATTAGCGAAAATGGCGTGGCAACGCGACATGAGCGCGTTGGACACCATGCGCTCGTGAAGGAGTTGTTCGCGGAGACGGGCGAATTTGTGCGTGTCGCAATCTGGGGGATGCCAATTTGTCACGACATCCCCTAGGCAGGCGCAGGTCGTGGCCGTGGTGAAAAGAGGACACGGCGCTGTCGAGCGCGGGCATGCGGTGGGAACGGCTCTACTCCCAAGTTCGTGTACTGGTATGCGATATCGGCGCCGGGACCCTTGCCCCGCGAATGCGTGAAGGAGACGCAGAAGGTCTTGCGGTGCGAGAGGGCGAGGAAGTCGTTGGGACAGATGAAGCGGGGGTTCAGAGTAGTTATCCGAACACCGAGAAAGCGGGCATCCTGTGCCCTGGAAAGATGTTCAACGAGCATCTGCACTGCGAGCCCCGAGAAAGATCGGCGTAACGCCGCTGCGCAGGCCTTCCCGTCGCATAGTGGCGAGTGCGATGACAGAACACCCATCGGGCGCGGGACCTGTAGTCGCGCAAAATCACGCGGGGCTTGCCCTGCATCGCGACGGGAGGTGGTTGAAGATGGGAGCGGGAGAGAAGAAGGACGCGATGTTTGGTGGTGTTGTGCTCGTCTCACAGTCCGCCCATCCAACGACTTGCTTAACAAGCGAGGTATGAGCTTCCTCCGTTAAAGCGTCTGTCTAGGAGAGACTACCGACGTGCACGTTAGTGGCGGTATAGATGCACGCCGCCCTAGAAATTGCCAAAATTGTGGAACTTATATATAACTCTGTTGTCGACGACTGGTCACGGTGGCGCCGCAAAACTTCGCTATTAGCGCTGGCGAAAACGGCCACCACCTTCACTCATAGCGCACTCAATGGTTTATGGGAGCAACAAAGCACGCTCGTTAATGTCTTGCGCTGTCTGCGAGCTTAGCCTCATTTCGACGTTTTTACAAGCACTGGATCAAGTAACGTACCTGGCCCTGCCCACGCTTGATTCAGCGGCGCTCGAACATCTTGGAAGCCTTGCTAGCCTAAGATCCCTCCAGATAGCCAACGGAGACGTCCGCGATTTATCTCCTGGAATCATTTGGCTGGCCGGATTCCCTTCGCTCGCGAACCTCAACTTCTATCAAGCGCCATTCGAGTTCATAGGCACCTTCATACACTGCCTCTCAAACAGCCCAGTTGCGCGCGTCTATTTCGGTACCGATTCACCCACCGAAAGCGCCATGCGTGCTCTCTGCCTCACACTCTCCACACACATCGCACACAGCGCGCTTGTCGATGTTGTTATGAAAATTGTCCACAACGACACCTCGGATGTGCGAGATATTTTTGACATTCACACGATCTCCCCGCTATTCTGTTTCGGCAACATTCAGAAGCTTGTTTTGGAAGCCCCAGGAGGATTCAAACTCGATGATGCCGCTGTGTGGGACATAGCGGGGGCATTCCCCGAGCTGCGGCAGCTCACGTTGGGGTCCTCTACTGAAATGCCTTGCGCACCTGGAGTGACACTCGGCGGGCTCCGGGCATTCGCGACTCACTGCCCGCACCTGGGCAGCATGCGTATTGCATTCAATGCAGCGGTTATCCCGCCTACCGCCACCCCCGACATCTTCCAGACAACGCTCTCATCTCTCGAAGTCCTCAACTCGCCGATTTCATCCGAGCCGATGCGCGTTGCGCGCTTCCTCTCGGGGATTTTCCCCAGCCTGGTGAAGGTCATTAGTGATCCCTATGACGTGCAGCCGGGCTTCAACGCTGAGGACTGCAAGACTTGGAACCGGGTCGAGACTCTGCTACCCTTGTTTGCTGATGTCAAGGGGCTACCAAGCTGCGAAAATCTCAACATACCTTCCATTCTGTTTTTCGAGGGCCTCAGGGACCCCTCCCTCCCTTTATGTAAGCATCAAATCTCTTTTTTTAGGAAATTCGCCAATCAAATTCCGATTTTTTTTCTCCATGTGCGCGTCTTTTAGGTTCGGATAGGTTTGGGTGGCCTTGGCACATATGTTCCAAGTGTTAAAACGCGCTGCAAAATGTGCAGGGAATATAATGAGGGAACATTTCATCCCCGATGTGATCACACACGTGCTGATTTACTCTATCAGGAGTGGCTGTACCTGTCATCCCGTCCTAAACAAGTAATAATCTTTTGGCCTCTAACTCAACAACCACAGCTCTAATTCGCTTAAAACTTGCAGATTCTGAATCCCAGCATAAAATTGAGCCAGATAGAGACCCCATTGAAAAATTTGCATCCTGGTGGGCCCTTGGCTGATGTACGCCCGGGAGGAACCGAGCTCAGGGTAGCGTGACGTTTGATAGCAGAAAAGGATGCATTAGGAGAGAATCAAACTCCCGGCGGGTCGAGAATTTGCTCACTACCGTATGGCAACGACCCAACCCCCACTAATGCTGGTATCACATGTGCAGCGGGAATGAAGGATGTGGAAAGATACAAAAAATATAAGAAAGTAAAAAAGAATGCATTAGGAGAGAATCGAACTCCCGGCGGGTCGACACAAACGTAACCCCACAGAATGGCAACGACCCAGGTTACCACTACCCCACTAATGCTAGGAATATTTATGCGTTGGTAAAGGACTAGACCTACACTGGATTCCGAGAAATAACAGCAGCTTCTGCATGAACTCGGCAAAGTGTTCCAATATGCCGTGATTTGACAAGTGTGTACAAAAATAACATTCCAATGGTTAGCGCGAAAGTGTCTTGAAAATGCTACTCCCAAAAGAACGTTCGTATGAGAAGATAGAAAAAACCACATGAGCTAGACTGCCCTCCGACGCCCTCGCAATATAGTCTGAATCCTCCGCAGCCTATCCAAGATCCTCTGCCACCACAGCTGCGATCTGAGCTTGTTGCGCAGCGGAAACCGCGTCTCCGTCTTCGTCTCTGACGGCCCGATGGACTGCGGGCGGGAAATGTACGGCGTGGATGGCTGGTCGCACGAATACACTGAGGGCGACGCACGGCCCGAGCCAGGCAGGATCCCGACGTCGAACCAGGTCATACCGCCGGGGATGAGCCCGAGTCCCTGATCAACGGCGGCGTTAAGCGACTCCATGCCCAGATCCACCTCGGTGTCCCCGTCCGCCTCCTCCGCCTGCTGCTGCTCGCCTGGAGTGCGGAGCTCGTCGGCCGATTCTACGGCAGACTCGAAGTGCGTCTCGGACGACAACTCGGGCGTGGATGTGGAGGCGGAGGCGGACGTCGGGGAAGACAAGACCTGCTGCATGGCCGACGCCCACTCTGCGGACGAGTCGGTATTCAAGTCGTCGATACGTATTTGTACCAATTCCGGCAGCGGGTCGAGGCTGATGGTGGAGCGCCGGCGCTCTGAAGGGGACGTGTACACCGCAGGTGGCGGGGATATATAGTTCCATTCCGTGAGGGGCGATATCGAGCGCTGATCTGGATGGAAAGTCGAATCCATCGAGGTGGAGCGGACGGTGGAGAATAATACGCCGTCCTCGGCGACGTCCTCGCTGGCACCGTTCCCTCCCCATTCCGATCGCCGACCACGGTCGATGGGCGTTCCCCGTCCAACGTATTTGGATAACGGCCACGACCCGGGGACATTCGAGGCGCTCGTTAGTGATATACGCGGTGACGTGCTCAGCCGCGGCTGAGAAGACGCTCGTCCGAGAGATGGTAGCGGACCCGTTGAGAAAGAGACAGAACGCCGAGTCGAAGCCGGTGGACTCGACGGAAGGTACGATGAAAACGGGTAGTCTGACTGTGGAGGGGGAGAAGGAGGCGGCGACGGTGTGGTGGAGAGGCACGACAAGTCCAGCTTGAAATCCGTGAAGCCCGCAGTTCCAAACGACGCAACGTCAAACGTGGCGTCGGCCGTGTCATCCAGTGAGTACGAGGAGTAGCCGTCGTATTTTGCGAGCGAGTGCGAATCATTGTTGCTGCTCGGGGAGTCGCCGACCCTTGGGAAGGCTTCTGGCCTGGAAAAACTGAGAAACCGTGCGCGAAAAACGAGAAACAGTGAATACATTGTGTTATGTGGCGATTCCAGAGAACGGGGCAGACAAAGCAGACGAGTTTTTGGGCAGGAAGACGCAACAAGCAGAGTAACGGCGCACCACAATTTAGGCCACGGACGCTCGGATTTTATTTTAGTGGATGCTTACACACTACCCATTGTTACGTTCGTTGGAGAGACTTCCTTTTCGTCACGAAACGGACACGTAGTAGAAGACGTCGCGAAACCATTAAATAGTGGAGGCCGCGAGTGTGAAAGGCGTGGAGAGTCGCCACGCGTATACACCCTCTAGCACGGCGTGCGTTCAGCTATAGATTCTGTAGGCTGGCCAAGTCGTGAGGACGAAACGAGCTATCCGCGAGCCAATTAGCCTCCGATCGGATCAAGGCCCCAGAGTCAAGCTCTAAGTAGCACAGTCCCGACGACACCGCGCCTTACGAGAGCAGCCAGTGCACGAGAGGCGAACCTTTCTGGAATCCAGAACTAAGATGGGGGCCTGCAAGAGAGAATAGATCCGGCGAACTGGTACAATGCCGATTGTGCATTGAAAGGCGAAGGCAAGGAAGACACGAGGCCGTGATCCACAGAAGGGCATCCCACGAGCAAATTGACGTGAATAATAATGTCAAAGCGATTCTATAGGTGCCACCAAAAGAAATGGGCAGGAATGTCGGAATCAAACATCCCGAGCACTAAGGGAGCAAGAGCGACACTCAAGACAGTGGGCCAGGTTGGATTAACTCGATGGTATAATCCTAATCAGAATTCATGAAGCCGCCAAAGACGAGTAGACATGGCAAGCAACAGGGGGCGCAAGACACACGAAGCCTGGGAGGTCGGAGCGCAGCAGTGGCAAGCTTTAGAGGGCAGGAGAAAATGAGACAAGGCTGAGGATGAATGAACGCCGAGGGATGGTTAAATAGCCTTCCAGCTGGCTCTGGTGACCCATGCGGCAGTGAAGACCGGATATTAACTTTAATGTTTTTAAGGGCTTCATTGCCCCGCCACAGCACATCCGACGCGATGTAGAATATTAAGGCGTTCCACTTCCGGAGCAGATGCTCGAGGGGTGTAAATTTATAGACGCAACTCGCCAATATCGGTTTACTAGGTGGCATGTTCTTTTCCGGACATTGAGCGAGGCGATGATCCTGTTGAATCTATGGACAGAGGTCCGTACATAATTCTAGTACACTGACACTGGCAGTTCCGAGTCGTCTCGCCGGAGAGTTAGTAACGAAATGGGCATAGCGTCAATTGCAATTCCTAAGCGAAACCAAGCTGTCGAGATCCAGATAGAATCTGCAATTCAAGCCCAGTGGCAGTTCCGAATCGTCTCGGAGAGTGGCGACGAAATGGGTATGGCTTCAATTGCAATTCCTGAACGAAATCCCAGTCAAGCTGTCGAGTCGAGACCCAGATAGAATCCGTCATTCGAGTCCACTGGCAGTTCCAATTCCGAGTCGTCTCTGTGAGTGGCAACGAAAAGGGCGCACCACCGGATGGCTCCAAAGAGCGAAACCATGAAGCTGTCGAGTCGCTCATGAGTTCCAGATATCATGATAAATGATCAGACTGAGCAATCGCGACTCCGGAACTGAAGTCCCCGCGGTTCATTTGAACACGGCATAGTCCCAGATCTCGAACGCAATCATAGCTGGTATCAAGTCGGCGAGGTCTCCATGGACAGAGGTCCGTAGTTCGAGTGCAATGGCAGTTCCGAGTCGTCGCGGAGAGTGGCAACGAAATGGGCATGGCTTCAATTGCAATTCCTGAACGAAATGAAGTTGTCGAGATCCAGATAAAATCCGCAATTCGAATCCACTGACAGTCCAGTAGTCCCCGCGAGTGGCAACAAAACGGGCCACCGAATGGGTCCAATTGCAACGAACGAACCCTTGAACGAACCCACGAAAGCGCCCGCAAGTTTCAGAAGTGCCACCATCATGACCGTAAGAAGCAGAAGATTGTCAAACAAAAAACAAAAACAAAACAGACATCGAATAAAAACAGTTATTTTTTTCCACACAGTACAACAAATATACAAAAAGCAGGCGTACGATAACTAAACTATGTAACATAACTAACTAAGTAGAAGGAAAACTAAATAAGGTGTACAGACGAGAGTGGGAATCCGAGTATGCATGCGCCGTAACCCAGTCCGTGGGAGACGTGTATGTAGGTGTGTAAGTGAGATGAGATGGGTGTAAGTGTATAGCGAGATGAGATGTATGCAGCAGGACTGTATGGATATGATGGAGACGAGGAGAGGAGAGAAGGAAATGGAAATATTAACAGGTAGTAGTTTGGTTTGGTACATCCGGCGCCCGGGAGCCGAGTTATACGTCGGCCCAGCGCGAAACGGGGTTGGTGTGCAGCGCAGGAGGAAGCGAGCGAAGGGCACTGACCGAGGATGAAGCGAGCGGGCGAGAATAAGGCACGAGGGAGGGAGAGCTATACCCCGAGCGCAAAGCTGAGCGAGCTCTCTCGCTCGCGCTCGCCGGGGGTGTCGAGCGCCAGGGGCGGGGACGCGGGCGCGGACGACGATCCGCCGAACCAACCGAGCCCCATCGCGCCCATCGCCATCCCAAACATGCCTATCCCCATCTCCACGCCCATCCCCAGCCCCACGCTGCCCTCGCCCTGCCCTGCCGCATCCACGTGGCCACCTTGCGTGTCCACGTCCATCGCGTCGCCGCTGCCGTCCACAGCAGGCACGCCCTCCACCCCCACGCTCTTCAGAAACTCCTGCCACACCGCCTCGTCCGGCTCAAACGCCTCGCTCATCTCCCGCCGCTCGCGCGCGCGCCGCTCCTCCGCCGTCCCCTCCTCTTCCTCCTCCCCGCCCCTCAACGACCTCACGAGGTCCTTCAGCCCCCGCATCGGCAGCATCTCCGGCTCCCCCTGCTCCCTCAGCCTCGGCAACGGCGGCAAGCCCTCCCCCCTCCCCACCCCCTCCACCACCTCCCCCCGCCTCCCCCCCTCCGCCGCCACGCGCTGCTGCATCGCCAGATACATCGGATGCGGCCTCGGCCTTGGCTGCGGCAGCCTCCTCTCCAACGTCCCCCTCGCCCCCGCCCCTCCCCCCTCATACGCCGCAAACTCCCACTCCTCCATCGCCGCCCCGCCCTCGACCCACGCCGCGCGCCGCACAGGGTCCACCGGCGTCCCGCGCCCCTTGCGCCGCTCCCCATGCGCGGGCTGCACCGCGATGTCCTGGAACAGGTGCCTTAGCACCGGCACGCGCACGGACGCGAGGCGCGGCGGCGGCAGCGGGAGCGGCGGCAGCTGCTGCTGCTGCCCCCCAACGTAGAACGCGCTCAGCACGCCCCCCATCGCGCGCGGGTCGTCGTCCATCTGTGCGTGCGGTTGTGCGTGCGGTTGCGCGTCGTGCTGCTGCGCGTGGTCGTCGTCCACATACCCCTTATACTCCTCGTCCACCTCCGCCTCCCCATCCGCGTCCCTCTCCCCCTCGCCTTCCGGGGAGACGTCCCCCGACCACTCTTCCGGCGAGACGTCCCCGGACCATTCCTCTTCTGGCGAGCCGTCCCCCGACCCGTCCGACCCGCTCTCCTCGAGCTCCCAGTCGTAGTACTCCTCCTCCATGAACAGCAGAGCGTCCGGGTGCTGCAGCCCGTGCGCGGAGAAGTAGTCGTCCGCCTCCTGCGCGACGAGCGAGCGGATGAGCGCGGGCGTGTAGCGCGTGCGTCTGTAGGGGGGATGGTGGCGTTAGCGTGGGTTTTATTTTCAAGTAAACAAAAAGAGGGAAAGAGAAAGGAGTGGGGAGTCGCACGGCGGTCGGCGTCTGTCTCCGTTTCGCAGGCACGGCAGGCAAGTCGCACGAGATCCGGCCGCGGAAAACGGGGAGGTCACGACCGCGTTTCCAAACCAGGAGAATCGCCCCCCACCCGCCGGCGCAAGCTAAAAACAAAAAGAACGAGGCGAGGCGAGAAGGGGAAAGGAAAACCAAATCCGCCCTCGCGCCGGCGCGAACCCTTCCCCTTCCAAAAAACGAAAAAAAAACGAAAAAACCCCCAAAAGCGAAAAAAAAGAATTGAAAAAAAACTCACACATCCCACACCCTAACCCGACATGCAATCTTCCACACGCCCCACGCCTGACTCAGCCGCTCGTGCGGGTTCGGGCCCAGGTCGCCGCCGCCGACGCTGTTGTTGCTGTTATGTGTGATGTTTATGAGCGTCGGGGTGTTGGGGTTGGCGGTGTCGTTCCCGGGGTGTGCATTGGCGTCGGGTTGCTGCGACTGTTCCTGCTGCTCGCCGCCGTTCCGTTGCTGTTGCTCATCGGCATCTGGCACCTCGACACCAACCTCCCACGCACAAACGACCACCTCCCCGAGCCGGCTGCGCCGCCTCCCCATCGCTCCGCCGCGCGCGCCGTACGCCGTGCGGTTGTCGTACCCGCGGGCGTCGTACCCATCGGGAGCACCGTTGCGGGCGTCGTACTCCCCAGACGATGCGTAGCCCTCAGACACTGATGCAGACGCAGACGCAGAGCTGTCGTACTCGCTACCCGCAGACGACACATAATCCTCCGCCACCTCGTCCGGCAAACCATCCGGGTCCTGTCCCCCCACACCCACAGTAGACGCTGATGGAGACGCCCCCCCATATGCAGAGTACACTCCATACGGGCCCGCCTCAGCAAGCCCAAGCCCCGCCTCAGCGAGCGCCCTCGCCCCGGCGCGCCTCCGCCGCTCGAGCAGCGCCGTCCACTCTACCGCGCGCGTGTGCCGGTCGGGCGAGAGGGGCTGCTGGTGCTGGGTCTGTGGACCGGTGCCTGTGGGTATGGAGAGCGGAGTGGGTATGCTGGGTATGTTGATGGGAGCAGGATGGGTATGGGTATTGGGGAGAGGAAGGGAATGGGTGGTAGGACTCGGACTCGGACTCGAAGCAAGCCCAAGCGCCACCCCCCCGCTCGTCCCGCCCGTCATGTCCACGCCGTCCAAATCCAGGTCCAGCTCCCCCAGGTCGAGCCCGTCCATTTCGTTGGTGCTCTTCATAGCGCTGTCCAGGTGCATAGGGCTGTCGAGGTCCTTGTTTGCAGAGGGGTCCGTGGCGGGGCGCAGCTCGCGGAACGCCCCAGATCCGGCGGCGCGCGGCAGAGGCCAGTCGGGCGACACGCGCGGGGCGGCGGCGGCGAGGGCGAGCTGCGCGGGGGAGAGCGCGAGCGCTAGTGGGAGGGCTGGGAGGGCGATTGGGCCTCCTGCGCCGGTACTACTCGGGGGTGTGGATGGTGCTGGTGTGGATGCGGATGAGGCGGGCGCCGGGGAAGACGAAGGGGAGGAAGGGGGTGAGGATGGAGGAGATGACGCTGGACAGAAAAACGATGAGCGTGCGGCACAGCTCGGGAGAGGACGGGGGTACGTACCGTCTAATGTAGACTCTGTGATGGTGTCCTCTGTGGGATCGTCGGGTGGGGGATTGGTGGTCCCTGAGGACACCAGTGGTGACGCATCGTCGGGTGGCGGGAGGGACGCGGGGGCGGGGGCGAAGGGTGACGGGGCAAGGTCGGCCGGGAGGAGGGTGCGCGTGCTGCGCCGGGTGAGCGGAGGGAGAGCGGGGGAGAGCGTAGGCGAGGGGGGTTTGGGTGAGGGTGGTGTCGGTAGGGTGGGTAACGTAGGCGAGGTCAGCAATGGAGGCGAAGTCGACAAAAAGGCGGGCAAAGGCAACGTAGGAGACGTCGGCGACTCGTACGGCGTCAAAGGCGACGAAGGCATCTCGACGTCGTCGGGCTCCTCGCACTTCACGCGCACCTCGCCATCGCGTTTTGCACGCAGCGCGCGCAGGTGGTCCGGGTGTACCTGCTCGCATGCGTCGACGTCCATGATGTCCGTGTGCACAACGCCCATGTCGATCTCGTCCAGCCGCCCGGCGCCCGGGCTTGCGCGCAGCAGGATCGGGTTCGTCTGCTGCTCCTGCTGGCGCCGCGCACGCGGCGAGCGTCTTTTTGTTTGTGTCGGTGTCGGTGTCGGTGGTGGTGCAGTGGGTGCTTGTACCCGGGCCGCATGCGCAGACGAACGCGCTTTACCCTTGCGCGGGGGCGGGGGCTGCTAAAGTAGATGCAAAATTAGCATTCGAAGTAGAGAATAAAATAACGAAAAGGACATACCTCTGCTACACAGCGCCGCTTGCGCACCACGCCGCCGCCGTCCTGGGGGTCGGGCGACTTGCGCTTGCGCCCGCTCCCACCGGCATTGCGGTTGTCGAGCTGTACCAGCACGCCGTCCGCGTCACCCGAGTGCCTTCGCAGCGCGCGCAGGCTGCGCGGTGTTCCCGCATGATGATTTGGATTCACGGATACAGATACGCGCGACGTCGATGCGACAAGGGCGAAGCGGGCGCTGCGCCGCGGGGTTTGCTGTTGCTGACTCGTGGTGTTAGTAATAGTCTTGGGATGACTGCTCCTCGTCGCCGTCGTCGTAGTCATCGTCGTGCCCACACTCGTGCTGGGCATCCCGGTGTCTGTGTGCAATCACTGCCTTATTATCCTTGTTTGTGTTGTGTTTCTTTCTTTGTGCAGCGGAGGGATGACAAGGGACGCAAACGGGGAGAAGGCGACGGGGGGCGTGCCAAGCACGCGCAAGCAGCACCCGACAGAGAGGCATCATGACTCAGCATTGTACAATGACTCCCACAGCAACACGTGGCGACCCCATAATCCTTTGCGCAGGAGGGAGGCAAGGGAGGGGGAGCAGAGCAGACGACACAATCCAAACCCAGTACGGTACATACACTCTCCTTCCGCGGTACTTATCCATGATGCCATCCGGGAACAAATTGCATGGCACATCCCATTCCGGTTTCTATTTATCCCCGGCGGCCGTCCGTCTGTCGCCGCCGTGTGTCCACAATTCATATTATCGAAGATCCTGATCCAATACGTTAGGATTCTCCGGATCCGTGTGTTCAGGCCCAACCGGGCACTCCTAATCGAGCATCTCCTCGACGCGGAGGCAATTTATCCAATCTCGTTATCAATAAACGTCGCATGTCTACGGAAAACAAACGGAACTCACATTCTTTTCTTATTATGTCGCCACTCTGGATCCGCCCTGCACTGTTCTCATCTCCTTCCTTAACTTCCCAACAAATATCGCCCCTCCTATCCCCGTAATGCGGTGAGTTTAGAACAGCATTAGTGGGGTAGTGGTAACCTGGGTCGTTGCCATAAGGCGAATCGCAGTATTGATTCGACCCGCCGGGAGTTCGATTCTCTCCTAATGCATTCCTTTTTATACTTTTCTTTCTTATTCTTTCACCTTTCTGTATCCCTCATTCCTTCTCTACATGTCATATGTTTTGAAAGCATTAGTGGGGTAGTGGTAACCTGGGTCGTTGCCATGCTGTGAGCTGATGCCAGTCGACTCGACCCGCCGGGAGTTCGATTCTCTCCTAATGCATTCTTTTTGCGCTTTTTACATATTTTCCTAACTCACGGCATGGGTTCGTTTTGGAGCTCCGTCAAAGGATATCTTGGAATTGTGCGCAGCGAGGATATTTTTGAGAAGAAATACAAATACGGCAGAAAAACGCAAAAAAAAAAACAATGCATTAGGAGAGAATCGAACTCCCGGCGGGTCGATAACTTTTTAGAGATCAGGCAAATGGCAACGACCCAGGTTACCACTACCCCACTAATGCTATTACCAAAATGCGGGCAGAGGGAACGAATGATGTGAAAAAATATATAAAAAGTAAAAAAAAGTAAAAAAAAATGCATTAGGAGAGAATCGAACTCCCGGCGGGTCGAATAAAGACCATTGATATGAAATGGCAACGACCCAGGTTACCACTACCCCACTAATGCTGTTGTTGTCCCTTGGCCCAAAGGTCGACCCGCCTCTCAACATGGACAACTCGAACTCCGAATATCTCGCCTACTGCAATCCAGCGGCAACAATTAAATATTCTGCCTCTTGTTTTGCAGTGCTCACATTCCAGGCGGCTGCAGAACTTCAACACCGACAGATTTACGACCCAAAAACTGTGTCTGCATGGACATTCACAGAGGAGATACCCCCCAAAACCTCAGCAATCTATGATCTGAGTAACCCACTGGAGGTATCGGCCGGTGGGGTTTCCTGAGAAACCCGGTTCCCCCAATAACACGTCCAATTTTAGAGGGGTTTCTCTGAGAAACCAGGTTACTCATTAGAATTATATCTCCAGCTCAGGCATATTGAACAGGCCACCAGCATTGCATCGTGCCTTCGAGCATATATACATGTAACGTGCTCATTTCTTGATTCCAGATCAACTCTAAAAATCTTCCAGCTATATTACATCACTCCTTGAATTCATTAGGAATCAAGCCAATCGTTACGATTGAACAACCGCCAAACAACCGCCCATGAGACACTTTTAGACGCTGCCGCAGAAGCCGCCGGTCCGCGTGACCTACACACGCCTATACCAAAGCCTACCATGTCGGAGGACCCCACGTTTCGGGATGCCCCCATCCCGTTCTCCGGAGCTTTTGATGCAGACGACGGCAGTCCTCCTTCGGATTTCGTCCTCAGATCCAGCGATGGCGTGGATTTCCACGTGCACCGCGATATCCTCAAATTTGCGTCCGATTGCTTCGATGGCATGTTCGCGATCCCCGGGGGCGATTGCGATCCCAATGGTTTGCGTCGAGACGGCAAGCCCGTGCTTATCCTTCCCGAGCCGGAGGCAGTACTCTTCCAACTACTTTGTTTAGCCTACCCTGCAGATACACTGGCCCCCTACACATTTGAACAACCGGATCTTGACATCTTCGCTGCTGTCTACAGAGGAGCACAGAAATATCAGTTTTTGCGCGTACAGCGCATACTGAAACAGATGTTGGACCATTCAGCCCTTATCAATAAGCACCCGCACAGATTCTTTGCCTTCGCACGGCTGTGCGACCTCCCCGAGCTTTCTCGAAAGGCGGCTCTCTTGACGCTTCAATCCCCGCTCTCTCACGACACTCCTGTATTCCCTGAAATGAAGCTCCTTTCCTGGGAGGATGCCCACATCTTGTATCGGTTTCACCAATTGTGCGGCCAGAAGGCGGGCGAACTTGCGGAGAAGGCGGCACTTCCATGGTCATCGTCCGACAAAGCATCCCCAATCTGGCTCTGGAATGACGACAGTTGCAGTGTATTTTCTTGGTGGAGTTATGGCCACAATGGTCGGTGCAAAGACGCGGTACGAGACGCGCCTGTGCAATGGTTCAAGGAACACGTTGCTCGTCTTGCGGCGCAACTCCGCTTATGTCCCTCGGGTGCTACGGCGAAGAGGAAGGCGCTCAGTGTGGCCCCGACCGACTGTGTGATTATGGACACATGTTCTTTGTGTTCCGAGCGCACGGATGCGGACCTTGCAAGCTTTGCGCGCCTGTTGGCCAAGGAAATCGATCTATCAAATATTCGTCTCGGTGAGCTGTAGCCCATATTTAGTACCTTCCCTACTGACGAACCTGCCGCGCTTATTAAAGCTGAAGAAACGTTCCAATGATGTTACATTTGAGGAACTCGTTCGAGCTCGCAGGATATTATGTGGAGCATCTTGGATGCAAGCAATCTGAATGCGTGTAATGTACAATAGGCTTATTGGAACCACCCAAGGAAAATGGGGGCAAAGGCTCCTCTGTGCTCTCGAAATTTGTCCTTGTCCGTACTACACTGTCCCGAAACAATACACGGCTTCCACTTTTGCTGTAGCGCGGACGAACCACAACTCAACTACCAAATATGAAGGACCGGGCGTACACGGGATTATCAAACTTCCACCTTTCTTGACGGTTCATACACTGGGAGAAATTGTAGTTGCGGCCGCGACTGCAGCTCAGAGTATACACGTCGAAGTCGAAGCTGGAGGCGAAGACGGAATGTCGACAGGAAGGCCAAGACAAACATAGGGAACGAGGGCCAAGCAACAGGTGTTCTCAGCACGGTACCCGCTCGAAGCAAGAGTTCGAATCTCCACCCGAGGCTCGCTGGCTCGCTCCCCAAAGCAGCGCGCGCGGTCCATGTGTGAGCTTCATTCGTGCGTCGAGTGACTCAGGTAGAGCAGATCCGACGCCGCCGTATCCCAGTTGATGTCGGTGAGCAGCGCCGTGCTACCGATGGGCCGCGACATAGGTGAAATATCAATCCTGCCTTTTTTTTTGCAAATACATTGGCAGCAAAGTTGGAAAGTTCGATCATTGCATTTGTTCAAAGTTCAACTGTTGCACTTTTCTTGCCAGGAATTGATTTATTTCATTTGCAGCGCAAGGGCGATGCAATTTCTAGTGTATGGAGCGAGGTATTCAATGTAGACAGATGCCTCAACATTTTCATTCTAGCCAGGGAAGAATGGGTTCGTCAGCTCGGTCCACTCTACATATGAGCCTGTGGTCGCCGAGATTCTGCAAAGTGCATTGATTGATCCCAACTCGAAGCTTTCTTCGTGATTTCCCCCTTATGTGTGCCGCTTCGTGCGACAAATTATCAGCCGGAAGATCAAGGATTGAACCGGAAATCAGATGGTATGTATTATTCTGAGCTCACGACTTGGTGAATCAAGTTAGAAGAATTCTGGCAAGGAGGATCTAGGAAGATTATCAGAGTTCGAAGTAAGTATGGGATTTCGAGGACCGGGATGTATGTACTTCACCAAGCTAAATAAAAAGTTGAGCTGGAAAGGGGCAGAATGGTCCCATTAATACTGGCTGGCAACGCGACTCGGAGGGATACATATGCGAAATACATGGTGCCTGATGTATGTGTAAAACATGATGATCCAACAACAATATTAAATGCACTGTACCATCGCGAGCCATAACTTTCAACAAAGAGTCACCTACTAGCATTTGAGCAATGCTTATCTCTGCCCACGTACTCCCGGCGCAGAGTGAGCCCTAACACAAAGATGTCGGCGCACACAAATCTGAAAGAATTGAGTCCGAGAGATATAAATTATCAGCTGTTTGCACTACCCAGTATTATTCAATTGCCACAGAAATGGTATGAGTACAGACAAATCCGCCTGATCGATTTATTTAGATGTAATTTGAAGAGAGGTTGCGCTATTCAAAGCTTTCAACCCCGTAAAAAAAATTAAAGGTGGGGATTTCAGGCATGTTAACAGAACTTACAACGATTGTGTGGTTTGCTTTTTCAACTGTTAATGGTATATCAAACTCTTCGCGTTTCATGAATCCACAAAGCTACCGCAAGCGCTTATTTCCTTTTGGTTGAAGCGGGTCGCGCGGTCCGCCGGACATTCCGACTGCCCAATAAGTTAAGCGATGTCAATTAAATGAGCGTGGTGTTCTGGCTTTCCATACAAGAGCGGTGGGAGCAGCCCAGAAAAAATCAGTATGCGGAGATTCTGCGGGGCGTGAGCCACACCCACTCGGTCGCCGCTTCGATCGTCAGGAGATGGTCTATCCTGCATGACAGACTAAATGCAATTGACTTTTTTTCCGATGGAGTCAGACGAACTTGAAGGGCGCCGAGTATTGGCCTGATTAGCAACTATACAGTGAGAGTCTCACAAACAAATAAGTTGCCACCAAGGGCGTTAGGGAGCTGATTGTCTCATACTTCTGGGCTGGCGCCATAAGTGGAGCAAGGTGACATGCCAGCAGGCGCCCACGCTGTCAACATTCCTCATCAATCATCTCGAGGCTATTTATACTAAGTCAAGGGCAAAGTGCGCACCGCCCGTAGACTCACGCTCATTTGCACGCTGGAATGCTTGGTTTGCTTCAATATTTCACTGATCATTGAAGACTATAAAAATAATAACTTACATGCCCACCGAGAAAGATAAGGCAAATAGTACAATAACTAGCTTTGTATTTTATCGCTTTGCGGGGCTTCTGATGGAACTATGTTCGTTCTAATGTTATCAAACAGACTCGTCATCTCGATCCAAAGTACGAATCTGCGGTCGCCCATGTTGTACGAAATGAAGGGACTCGAGTTGTGTCGAGTCGTTTTCGCGGATTTGGCTTGCTCCCTCTATATGGGCTGCTTCGTGCAAATTGAGCATCAGGCGGCATATCAAGGACGTTGAGAGACTGTCGGATGTGCGCGTGTAGTCAGAAGCCATGCAAAATAGACAATTGGGCGCACGCTGTCGTGAACCAAGAGAGGATTGAGGAAAGCAGGATCTGGGGAGATTATCAAACTCAAGTAGGCGAAATAACAGGGCCAATTTGTACATCACCAAGCTATATAAAGTGAGCCAGGTGTAGAATGATAGAAGTGCGGTTTTACGCACATAGATCATCAAAACGTTTGCCAGATTAACTAGAACGATGATTCTATGCGGCCTCTTTAACAGCCGCCGACGCGAGCGGGAGATGCATACCCGAAATACAAGGCACCTGAAGAGTGAAGTGTTCACCTGGAACTACAACGTAGTATTGAAAAGCCTACCATCGCGCGCCATGACTGTGGTCAACGAGACGCTCATCATCTCGGCTACGTCCCGGTTCACATATGCCCGACGTAGAGTGAGAACCAACACGAAGAAGTCACACACAAGCCTGCGATTCATTCACGACGGCTTCTGGAATAATGTCAGACCACTCACTTTCCAAACCAGGCTGACGTAAGTCCTACGAGAAGATGAGCGTCGTTGATTGGATTGAGCAGACACAAACTTGCGGTAGGAACTGGTAAAAAGAGATATATATAATTCACAAGGATCTGCAAAGGGCTGGCTTACCGAGATTTTTGAGCGACTGTATGGCAGCCAATAAACCCGGGAGCAGTCAGCATGACGGGACCCGGAGAGTTCAATCCGATGATGGTCCACTACCAAGGAACATCTTCAATATCTTCA